GTTCCCAACCCGTGAATTAGTCTAGTCCCAGCCTGGAAATCCCTACCCTGCTGCTACCCAAAGACCATATGGCTGCTGATGTCTCAGAACAGTCATTATAAAGCAGCAAGGTACAGATTACTCAGCAGAGCTAATATGAGGCCTCAGAAATTAGAGGAACAACCAAAACCAGGACTTAAGAACTTTGATATCAACTCTGGGTTTCTGAATTAGAGAAAGAAAGAAGGAAGAAAGGAAGAAAAGGTGGGATGGATAGAGGGAGTGACTAAACACACACATATTTTAGTTTCCCTACCTGACATCAAGACAGTTTAATTACGCCTCCTCTACCTGGACTGTGAGTTCTTTTTGTTGTTGTTGGTTAAGATTTTATTTATTTATTTGACAGACAGAGATCACAAGTAGGCTGAGAGGCAGGCAGAGATGGGGGGGGGGGGGAAGCAGGCTCCCTGCTGAGCAGAGAGCCCGATTCGGGGCTTGATCCCAGGACCCTGAGATCGTGACCTGAGCCGAAGGCAGAGGCTTAACCCACTGAGCCACCCAGGTGCCCCCGGACTGTGAGTTCTTAAAGAAGAGACACTGTGTCGTCTTCCTCCTTGCAGTTTTAGTACCCAGCACAGGACAGGCACATTGTTGGAACGAAATGAATGAAGTTACCAGATGCCTTAGCCATCAAGGATGTCCAGGACAGCTGCCACATAAGACCTTTCTGGGGGACACACAGATATACCTAGCAAGGATCCTCCCAAATTCTAGGTCATATTAGCCTGCTCTGAGCCTCTGCACTGGGTGTCTACTGGGCAATAACCTCAAGGAAGAGCACTGGGCTGGGAAGGAGGATACCCAAATTCCAGCCCCACCACCATAACGGACGGGGACAGGGAACTAGACAGTCCCATCCTGGGATGCTATGGGTCCAAGATGCTGCAATTTAAATCCAATCCCACATTTGACTCTTGCTACCCATACCCTAAGGAGTGTTCACCCGGTCCATGAGGTGAAGGCTTCCATGCTTGCTCAGAGTCTAGGACAGATTTCAACAGGTAGGAATCACTCCTGCCACCATCAGGCTAAATGGAAGGAAGCAAGCCCAATAGTCATAGAGGGTATTTCTCAGTCTCAAACTGTTAGACAAGAAGGTGTATCTTTGTATTTCCCAATAAACTCTTTTCCCGAGGAAAAACAGCAGAACAAACTAGTTTAAAGTCCTAACTACCTAATCTCCCAAAGTTTAAAGGCCTGGATAAAGGGAAGCTCCTTGTGCCCTCCCCAACTCTGAGAATGAGGCTCTACCCCAAGCCAGAAAGTGATGAGAATCCAAGACTCAAAGGGGAGAGAGAGCCCTTCCCCGAGCTGAGGCCAGGACAGATGTCCTCAAAGTACATTTTGTCCTGGGCAGCCTGCTCATGTCCACATGTGTGCATATGCAAGAAGGGGGAAAAGGGGGACAGCATGCTGGTGGAAAAAACACCTGAGACTGAGAGCCCTCAGAAACCCAGAAAGTGCTCTGTCTTCCCAAGGGCACAAACCATGACAGAGGCTTGGTTGACAGCCCCCACAAAAGCGGGGGTAACTGATTCATGGACAAGTGCTCTCTCAGGGCCCTGGCTACCTGTGGTGGCTGTTTGCTGGCCCAGGTGCTCATGATTCTCTGGTGCCCACTTCTAGATCAGAGCCTTCATTGGAACAAATGAAGAGTATCTCTTCAAAGCACAGATGGGAAAAGGGAAGCCTCTGGGTTTCAGCAGTCCTATACTCACCCCCCATGCCCCATACACCCTTTAGGGGACTGTACCAGCTGTACCAGGCCCCAGATGAGCCCTCAGGTCAGTCCTGCCTCCCCTAACCCGTTCAACCTGAGATGCTGCCCACCTTCCACGTAGCCCCTCTCAAGGCTGGCAGTGCCAGGACCAGCACTAGTCAAGTCACGTTGAGCTGCCACCAAATCTGAGCAGAGACAAACGTTCCAGAAAAAGAAAAGAAAATGCAAGACCGCTGCTCCTCCCAGGTTGACTACAACTCAGGCAAACACTCAGGTAGCCAGGAAAGGGAGCCTCATGTCCATGTTATGTGGACTAGAGGCTGCATGGCCTGAAGGCCAAGAGGACACTGCCTGCAGGCCTGAACTTTCTGGAAGAACACCCCTGGGGAACTTGGAGAAATACTCAGGAAAGGCCAACCTCCTCCCTGCAGCCTCTACTCCTGAAGGCCTCCCACTCGCCCATGGGGGATCCTGAGGCAGGGCCAAAAATGGCTTGACACACTACAACCTGCTTATGGCACACAGAGTAGACAGAGGCGGGATCCAAGCCCAAGTATGTCTGAAGTCTGTCCTAACGCTCTGACATGAAGGATCCAACAATGACCCATCAATAGCCCAGTCTGGTGCCTGGCTCCTCCAGGCAAGTGCATGTCCATTACCCTCCACATACCAAACTGGAGCTTATCACAGTGTCTGGCCCAGACCCCAGGACGCCAGAAAATAGAGACAAGTTGTGAAAAGAAACTGCAAGTAGTGAAAAGGCCACAATTCTAAACCCCATGGATGATTTCTCCCATCAACCTCAAAACCACCCCGCAAGGGCTTTGGTTGACACCTGCCCAGATGAACAGATGGGCTCAACTCCCCCCATCCACACTCTACTATAGAGACTTTCAGCTTCCTCAAGGCCCCCTCTCAGCCAGGAGCCCCTATTCAGAGAGCTGACCCAACCACTCAAACCTAAGGGCTCAATTAAAATGAAGAAAAACCATCCACCTTCACTTTGTAGGACCTCCACAAGAGCAGCCCAAACATCATGGTCCCATGCGTGTCACACTAAGGTGTCCAAGCTAGAGAAGACCCAGGGCCTCTCCCCACCCTCCAAATGTTATCTCTCAGGAAGTCCCTTCACACTGCCAATTCAAAATTCAGCTCAGAAATACCAGTAACCAGTCACCAACGGAGAGGAACACCACTACCAAAAAAAAAAAAGTACCACAGGCTCTCACACTTTGTTAAGATCTTATACCTCAAATACCAATCTAACGAACTTTGGGACACTTTAACTTGCTAATTTCTCTCTTTTTATTTTCCTGTATAAATGTTGAGGCAACAATTAAAAACAAAAAGACGAAAACTGGCTCTCTGGATTCTGGGGCCTTAGCTCTCTCTTCCCCCTTTCCTCTCTGCTGTTCAGAGTCATCTCCACGGGAGTCTGAGAAAATAGAACTGAACTCCCGAGTCCTTTTGGCCACGTAATTAATGTACACAATCTCATTTAGTCCTAAAAATAATCCTGTGAGTTAAGCACCAACAACCCCATTTTATTTTTTATTTTTTAATTTTTAATTTTATTTATTTATTTTAAAGATTTTATTTATTTATTTGACAGAGGTCACAAGTAGGCAGAGAGGCAGGCAGAGAGAGAGGAGGAAGCAGGCCTCCCGCTGAGCAGAAAGCCCGATGCGGGGCTCGATCCCAGGACCCCGGGATCATGACCTGAGCCGAAGGCAGAGGCTTAACCCACTGAGCCACCCAGGCACCCCAACAACCCCATTTTAAATACAAGAAAGAGACTGTGAGAAACTCTCTAAGATGCCTGAGGCCAGACACTTAACAGCAGGGCAAATATTCAAATTTATAAATTAATTATTATAAATAAATTTATAAAATAAAATTCATTGTATAAGACTAGTCTGCTTCTCAGACTAATCGCCAAGTCCAAAAGGATTCAATTTTCTGCTTTAAAAAAAAAAAAAGTCCCCTTGTTTTCACAATTCATATCTGACCAATTCCAAGAGCTTCCTCCCAAACTTGATATGAAAATACTGAAGCAATTATTGGAGAAATTGAGCAAGAGCATGTAGAAGGCCTGCTCTGCCAGAGCTTTTCGGGAAGGTGACAGAGTTCCTACTGGCAGGATGCCCTCCTGCCAGGGCCCCTCACTCATAACAACAATCTCTAAACCCTGGCATTAAAAATGAGCAGCCACCTGTATGATAATCTTGGGAACAACCTGTGGCTGCCCTGGGCCTGACTGCCTGTGGATTCTGCAGCAGGGAAGGGCTCAGCCTCCTCCGGAGAGGAGGAACACAAATCACCCTCTTAAGCTCCCAGCAGGCTGGTAGCCACCATTCCGATTACCTGGGCGAGACACCTGAGACTCTAAGCTTCTCCCGGGAGGGACAACTCAGTGTGAACTGGTCACCTATTAGCCCTCCAGCCCCTATGGTACATACACTGTACTCCTACAAACACCATCCGTCCTTTGGAGGGCTGTGTTCACTTAGGTTTGGGGAACCCACAGGGACAGGAAGCAGGGTAAGAAGGCCCCAGGGCAGGGATCTACACAGAGGAGGAACTTGACACAATGGTAACAATTTATTAAAGGCTTACCTTCATTAATGTAAATATTTGTTTACATTGTTTCATCTAATCTTACAAAACAACCCTGACATAGGTACCATTTATCTTCTCCACTTAACTGATGAAAAACCAGAGGTTAACAAGTCACTTGCCCAAAGCTTATGAAAAGTTAAGTCACACTCAGGAGAGAGTGGTTCCAGGGGAAGACAAGATACGTGAACTGGATGTGAACTGGGAGGTCAACTTCCTTCCCCAGTGGAGGCCTCATCATCAGTTTCCCAAAGCAGAGTGGGCTACTCTGAACGGCCTCTTGCTCCCGATCAGAGTGAGCAGGGCGAAGGCAGCTCCAAACCCTAAGCAAACTCAAACTCCAAAACTTTTTGAGGCATGGGCCAGAGCAAGGAAGTCTCCAAGGCCTTCTCCGGTTCTGAGGCCAGAGGGGCCAGTGGCTTCCTTGTACCACCCGCACCCCAGCCTTCAGTCTGAATCCAAAAGGACCAGCCTCCCACCCTCACGCCATCCTGCCCGGAACCTGTTTGGGATTAGGGACGGTGATCCGGAACTGGGAGGCTGGATATCCTGGAAGAGGGCACGGGCGAACGTCCAGGGGACCCTGCCGAGGAAATTCTCGGGAAAGTCCCCGAGTCCTTACCGAGCAGTGGGGACTCCTCAGGGCATGCGAGCAGCGACCGCGCTGAGGTGAAGGACACCGGGGCCGAAGTCAAGTTGCTCGCGGAGCCGGGGCCGGGATGAGAGTCCGTGTCTGGGCTGGTGCCGCGACCCGAGCGCAGCTCGGAGGAAGCGTCCGAAGGCGGCAACGGCGGGGCCCCTCGGGGTCGAAGCTCCCCGGAGGGCTGCTCGATCGCCGCGGCACCGTTCGAGCCGCCCTGCAGCGGTGTAGGAACTCCGACCAGCTGAGGCAGGCGGCTCAAGTCGCGGCCGGCCAGGTAGTAGACGAGGGTGCCGCCGAGATGCAGCGCGCAGACGGCCACGAGCAGGCGACAGGCCCGCTGCAGGGACGCGCCCGGCATCGCGGCGCTGCCGCCCAGGAGCGGCTCCCGAAACCTCATCTTCCCGCCGCCGCTTTAAGAGGCGGGTGGGCTACAGCGGGGAGGGGCGGCCCGCCCGCGGGCCGCCGGCCAGGCGCTGCCCGACCGCGGCTCTTGGGGGAAGGGCCTCAGGGGAAGCTCAGAGGGAGCGCTGCCCCGGCTGGCAGACGGCGGAACTCGGAGACTCCAGCCAGCGCGGCCGCCCAGCGACCAGAAGTGCGCCCGAGGCGCGGGCGGGGCGGGGGCGGGGCCGCCGGTTGGAGCGGGGTTTTCGGGACACGAGCGGGAGGGCGGGGCCTCTGGGGCGGAGCTGCGACGCGCGGGCGGGGCTCGGGCGGGGGCTGCAGGGGGCGGAGCCGTCCCGACGGCGGCGGGCCGCGGGCAGCGGGGAGCTTCGGCGCGGCGCGCTCTGGTTCCCACACCGCCCTCCTCCCGAGCCCTCGCCGGGTGCGTTGGGTTGCTACCGAGCCGCGCCTCCTCCGCTTCCTCCTCCTGCTCCTGGCTGCCCTCGAGAGGCGCCGCCGCTTCCTGCGGTGCTGAAGGGCCGGGGTACGGGCCTGGGCCTACGGCGCAATGGCGCCGAGAGCCGGCTGGTCGTTGATTTGAGGGGTTGGGGGCCGCGACGGCGTTCCAATCAGGGCGCCTCGGTAGGCCTGATTGGGTCCGGAAGAGGGATGGGAAAAGGCTGTCCAGGACACGGGCCCCGACACCGGGGTGGGGGGTAGGTGGGACGGCCGCGGAGGGATTCTGTGGGACGTTGGGTGTCCCTACCTTGGCGGGCTAGACTCCTCTACCAACGTGGGGGGCACAGCAAGGAGGCGGCTCACCCGCGCGCCGCGGAAAGTGCACTGAGTCTCGGCTTGTCAGCCTCAGCCTATGGCACCCCAGCCTAGGGCATCTCAGAGGCCCACCCAGCTGGGATTTGGGTGTGTAGGGTGCCTCTTTTAGTGCATTCCGCCCCTCGAGGATACGTGCTTTGAGTGGGAGGGCGAGGAGCGTCAGTAACTCCCTCGCTGGCCTTCGGGAGAGCAGCCAGCTTTGTTTACAGTTTGCACGAACTCAGACACAATTCCAGGAGGTAGCAGTTGTTCCATTTTACAGATAAATGGTTCAAGGCTCAGGAAGGCTAAGACGCTTACCTAAGATCCTACAGCTAGTGAGAGACAGAGGCTGAGTTCTGGCTCCAAAACCTTTATTTACCACATATTTGCCCCTGGTTGATTTGCACAGGCGCTGAAGTTGCTTGGTTCAAATTTGACCCAGAGGCCACTCCTCAGGCACACTTGAGGCCTGAGTGAGCAGGGACACCACACACACACACACACACACACACACCCGCAGAAGGACTCATGGAAATGCTGTTACTTATGTGGAGGGAGAAACCGAGGGCTCTTGCAGCCAACCCTGAAGTGGAGGAAACGATAGCGATAGCTAGGTTGCATAGCTTGGGAGTTTACTATATGCCGGTCAAGCGCAAGCCTAACTGCTTTATATGCATTGTCTCGATCCTACAGCACTTTGCAGTAGGCGGTTGTTACTATCTCCATTTCACAGACGAGAAAACAGGCTCAGGAGTTGACTCTTGGTTGTGATCATATAAAATATTTTCCTCACTTGGCTGCCTGGACACCAGGCCCCTCTGATCTTCCTCACTTCACTAGTCATTCCTCTGTCTCCTTTGTGGGCTTCTCCTCCTCTTCTCCAGTTGTTGAAATCCCCAGGCCATAGTCCATGATGCTCTTTTCTGTCTGTAGGGACTCCCTAGGAGTGATTTATAATATCTGTATACAATGACATAAAATTTCTGTCTTCCGCAGTTGTCGGAGGCCTCAGAACATAGCACATGATGCTCTTTTCAGTCTACACACTCCCTAGGAGAAATTTGTAATAATCCATTTGCTGATGACTGCAGAACTTCTATCTCTAGTCTGGATCTTCAGACTTATTTTCAAGTGCCTATCTTACCAGCATCTAAACTCAATACCTCCTGCGCCCCCTCCCTGACAACCTACTCCCTATGCCCTACTCTTGTTCTTCATCTACCTCAGAGAATGGCACCACTGTTTAGCCAGTTCCTCAAGCCCAAAACCTAAAAGGTGTCCTTGATGTGCCTCTCTTATGCTAAAATGCCATTTCTAGTCCCCTGGCAAGTCTTGGCAGTGCAACGTTTAAATCACCAGAATTAACTACTTACTAATTCTGCTATAACTATCTTGGACCAAGCCACCATCATCTTGACCTGGGTTATAATGGTAGCTTCCTAATTGGTCACCCTGCTTTCACCTCCTCCCTTCCCCCTCCCCAGTCTGTTCTCCAAAGAGCATTTAGGAAGATATTTGTAAGCCTAAATCAGATCATGCCATTTAACTCAGAACAAAATCTAAATGTGTAGGAGCCCTATCTAATGGGTTTCTTGTCTCTCTTCCCCAACCACATCTGTCACTCTCTATCATGTTCTACCTGCTTTAGCCAAGTAACCTAATTGCTATTCTCTGGAATTTGCTTATTTCTTCCTGTCTCAGGGCCTTTGTACTTGCTATTCATTTAGTCTGAAATACTCATCTCCCATATTTAATTCAGCTCTTTCAAATGTCACCTTAAGAGAGAGGTCTTCTCAGACTATCCTATGTAGAATAGTCCCCCATCCAAATCTACTTAACCTGGTTGATTTTTCTCAGAGCATGTATCAATACCCTACATTATATATTTATTTGTTGTTGTCTGTCTCCCTCAGTAGAGGGTCAGCTCCATGAATGCAGGAACTTCCTCTCTTTACTCCTGTATCCTCAGCTCCTGGAACTGAACTAGTACATACATAGTGGACACTGAGTAAATATTGTTAAAATACCTGTTAAATGAATGCTTATGATTATCTTGATTGAGGAAGGCAGAAGGGAAGAACTATTGCTAAATTATTTTACCTTATTTTATCTTATTTTATTTTATTTTGAGAGAGAGAGAAAGAGTGCACACACGCAGGAAAGGAGGGCAGAGGGAGAGGGAGAGAGAGACTTTAAGTGGGCTCCACACTGAGCACAGATTGTGACATGGGGCTCAATCTCACAACCCAGAGATCGCAACCTGAGCCAAATCAAGAGTTAGATGCTTAACTGAGCTAGCCAGGCACCCCCCACCAAGTTATTTTAACTTTATTTTTTTCAATTTTTTAATTTTTAGAGAGAGTGCATGAGGGGAAGGGGAGTGGAGCAGAGGGAGAGAGAGAGAGAATCTTTTTTTTTTTTTAAGATTTATTTATTCACTTGACAGACAGAGACCACAAGTAGGCAGAGAGGCAGGCAGAGAGGAAGGGAAGCAGGTTCCCTGCTGAGCAGAGAGCCCGACTCGGGGCTTGATCCCAGGACCCTGAGATCATGACCTGAGCCGAAGGCAGAGGCTCCAACCCACTGAGCCACCCAGGTGCCCCGAGAGAGAGAATCTTAAGCAGTCTCCATGCCCAACACGGAGCCTGACATGGGGCTCGATCTCACAACCCCAAGATCATGACCTGAGCCAAAGTCAAGAGTTGGATGCTTAATGGACTGAGCTACCTAGGCACCCCAACCCACTAAGTTATTTTAGACACATAAGTTAAGAATTGTTCGCCATGGAATTGGTCAAGGTGAAGCTGACCCCAGCACCCTATGCCTAGAAGAAAATGCCTGTCCAGTGAGTGAGGGTGGGTCTAAATAATGCCCCATCTGAAAACTGAGAGGAGGGAGAAATGAAGATATATCTTCCATGTATCCAGATAATAGCCTGGAGACAGGATGGAGGGGAGATTAGGGGTCACAGACTTATTCCAGGACCCTCTCTAAGGCCAGGAAGCAAGGAAAAGAAACACTCGCTCTCTATTCCTTGGGAACATGCAGAGCCAATGAGGTTCCCACCAGCCTTATCAGCATCCCTACCCCCATCTAGAGATGCCTACAATCTGTAAAGTTTTTCCTTCAGAAATGTCCAGGTCAGAAACCTTCAGAACAATATTGTCTGTCCAAACAGGACAGCTGTTCTAACAGGAACTGGTATTAGAAACAGAGAGACAGACCCAAGGCAACCTTCTCCACCTCTTTCCACTTTTCCACTTTGTCAGGTGGAAACTAATCCCATCAGAGGAGATACCTGAAAGAGGAAGCTGCAGTGCTGATTGGCCAAAAACTGGAATGTGGGTTTTGTATTTTGCCTGTTCACTGCTGATCTGCGCAGAGTCAGCCAGCTTTCTGCTTTTCCCTGCAGGCTGCCTTCAACTGGTTAGTGTCATTTCTCCCCCGTTCCACAGCGCCCTTTTCTGCACCTGTCAGTTCACATTTCTCTTTCACTTCAGTGGATAAGAAGGACATGGAATAGTGCCAGGCACGTGGCAGACCATTATTTCAATGATCTACTTCCGCATAAGATAGCACCCCAAAACTTAGTGTCTTCAAACTAACAATTTCTTTCTCCTAATTGTGTAGGTTGACTGGCAGTTCTGCTCCACCTGGGCACCGGCACAGCTGGATGTTCCCAAGTGGATTCACTCACATGGCTGCCATTTTGTGTGGGCTAGAGGCCGGCTTAGACGGTCCTTGGTTCTCTTCTACTTGGACCTCTCCATAAAGGCCTTTCACATGGCTGCTTGGGTTGCCTCACAAACTGAAGGCTGCATTCCAAGAAGGAACATTTCAAGACAAGGTAAGAGGATGCAAATCCCATGAGGCCCAGCCTTCAGCACCACTTGTTTGGGTATTTTAGTTAAAGCAACTTATTGGACAGTCTAGATTCAAAGGGAGTAGATGTGTCCTCCTTGTTGAGTGGAGGAGTAAAGAATCTACAGCCCTCTTTTTTAAACCACTGTAGTTTGCCCAGTGGCCACAAATTATTTAGATTCTTCACATGTGTGGAATACATTAATCTCCTTCCAGATCCCCCAAAGGCTGAGCCTATTAAGGTTCAGGCTCAGGCTCTAGGTCTAGAATTTCATCATCTAACTCAAGTCCAGTTATAATCCTTCAGGTTCAGGGTCCTTTAAACTATAAAATAAGTTCCCTTCATCCTCTTCCTGAGCAATTCAGTTCAAAAGCCATGGGGTAGGTAGGTGCAGAGCAAGATAGGTGCCTAAACATCATAGATAGTGTGTCAAAGCCCAACCAGATGAGGAGAGAGGGTGGGATAATAATGAGTGGAGAGAGTGGCAGACTAGTGCAGGGTGTCAAAGCCCAAGCAGAGTGAAGAGGGGATCCATGAGGGGTTAGGGTATTAGGAGTTTCAGTGAATTAGGGCAGCCCAGTATGGGGTGTTAGAGGCTGGGTGGGATGAGGAGATTGTTAAACACAGAGACACTGATCAGAAGTAAATATATGGAATCGATTCTCTAATTTCCCTTTCTGTATTTTCATTGTTAGTGTATAAGAAAGCCACTGATTTCTGTACATTGACTTTGTATCCTGCCACGTTATTGAATTGCTGTATGAGTTCTCGTAGTTTGGGGGTGGAGTCTTTTGGGTTTTCCATATAAAGAATCATGTCATCTGCGAAGAGAGAGAGTTTGACTTCTTCATTGCCAATTTGGATACCTTTTATTTCTTTTTGTTGTCTGATTGCTGTTGCTAGGACTTCTAATACTATGCTGAATAAGAGTGGTGAGAGTGGGCATCCTTGTCGCGTTCCTGATCTCAACAGGAAGGCTGCAAGCTTTTTCCCATTGAGGATGATATTTGCTGTGGGTCTTTCATAGATAGATTTTATGAAATTCAGGAATGTTCCCTCTATCCCTACACTTTGAAGCGTTTTAATCAGGAACGGATGCTGGATTTTGTCAAATGCTTTTTCTGCATCAATTGAGAGGACCATGTGGTTCTTCTCTCTTCTCATATTAATTTGTTCTATCACATTGATTGATTTGCGAATGTTGAACCATCCTTGTAGCCCAAGGATGAATCCCACTTGGTCATGGTGGATAATCTTTTTAATGTGCTATTGGATCCTGTTTGCTAGGATCTTGTTGAGAAGCTTAGCATCCATATTCATCAGTGATATTGGTCTGAAATTCTCCTTTTTGGTAGGGTCTTTGCTTGGTTTGGGGATTAGGGTAATGCTGGCTTTATAGAAAGAGTCTGGAAGTTTTCCTTCTGCTTCAATTTTTTGAAACAGCTTCAGGAGAATAGGTGTTATTTCTTCTTTGAAAGTTTGGTAGAATTCCCCAGGGAATCCGTCAGGTCCTGGGCTCTTGTTTTTTGGGAGTTTTTTGATCACTGCTTCAATCTCGTTACTAGATATCGGTCTATTCAGGTTGTCAGTTTCTTCCTGGTTCAATTTTGGGAGTTTATAGTTTTCCAGGAATGCATCCATTTCATCTAGGTTGCTTAGCTTATTGGCATATAGCTGTTGATAATAACTTCTGATGATTGTTTCTACTTCCTTGATGTTAGTTGTGATCTCTCCCTTTTCATTTATAATTTTATGAATTTGGGCTTTCTCTCTTTTCTTTTGGATTAGTGTGGCTAATGGTTTATCGATCTTATTGATTCTTTCAAAAAACCAGCTTCTAGTTTCATTGATACGTTCTACTGTATCTCTGGTTTCTACCTCATTGATCTCAGCCCTAATCTTGATTATTTCCCTTCTTATGTGTGGAGTTGGTTTGATTTGTTGTTGATTCTCCAGTTCTTTAAGGTCTAGAGACAGCTGGTGTGTTCTGGATTTTTCAATTTTTTTGAGGGAGGCTTGGATGGCTATGTATTTCCCCCTTAGGACCGCCTTTGCTGTATCCCATAGGTTTTGGACTGAAGTGTCTTCATTCTCATTGGTTTCAATGAATTGTTTCAGTTCTTCTTTGATCTCCTGGCTTATCCAAGCATTCTTAAGCAAGGTGGTCTGTGGTGCAAAAACAATGAATACTGTTATGCTGAAAATAAAAATAAATTAAAAAAAAAGAAGTAAATATATGGCTAATGAGAGTCACCCAGTTTCTGACTGTCAGAGAAGGGAGTTACAAATATAGACAAGGACAAAACTAAAATGAGCTCTTTGATACTTTATTGGAATTAGAGAAGTTGGTATGAATTTGTGGTTTTCAATATATAGATAGATAATGAAATAAATATAGGGGTGTTTGTGTATAATTTACGTGTAAATATGAATAAATACATTGGAGAAGTGCTGGGAGCAGAAACTTCCCAGTAGCAATGAGCATTTCTAACACCCAAATCTTGATTTCTTTTTTTTTTTAAGATTTTTATTTATTTGACAGAGAGAGAGATCACAAGTAGGCAGAGAGACAGGCAAAGAGAGAGGGGAAGCAGGCTCCCCGCCAAGCAGACAGCCTGATGCGGGACTCGATCCCAGGACCCTGAGATCATGACCTGAGCTGAAGGCAGAGGCTTAACCCACTGAGCCACTCAGGTGCCCCCAAATCTTGATTTCTAAACATCATTTTTCAATAAAAGGAACTAGATATTCTTGGGGAAAAAAAGGCTGATTTCAGGGATGGACCAGGGATATTACAAGTTGAGCCTAGAAAATCATCTACCAAAAAGCAAGAAGGGCTCGAAGAATAATGAGGATATGTCAAAAGAACACAGAAATCAGTTTGAAGGAGCTCCCATTGGCCAAACCTGGAACAATTTGAGTATGAAAATAAATATTGATAGGAACAGTTTATAGCCGATTGAACAAAATAAGAAACCATGAGTTTATGCTGATATAAATAAAGAAATGAACATTTGATGAGTAACAAGATATTTACATAATTTCAGAGTACCTCCTCCACAGAATACTTATAATTTCAATGGGAAACATTAGAAAAATCCAGATTTTGAAACATTCCAGGAAATAACCATTGTGAAGTCTTAACAAATTTCACGTTCATTAAAGTCAGGAAAGACTGGGGAACTGTTCCCCACTGGAGGGGACTAAAGAGAAATGACAACTAAATGCAACACTGTGATTCTGAAGTATATCTTTCTGCTGTAAAATATTTTGGGGATGACCAATGAAACTTATCCTGAAATAAGATGATACTATTGTATCAATGTTAATTTCCTGATTTTAGTGGTTGTATTGTGGTTATCTTAGAAATATACATATGAGATTTGGGGGTAATGTGACATCATGTCAGAAGCTTACTCTCAAATAATCCAAAAAAGGATCTGTACTAAACTTACAAGTTTTTTGGAAGTTATCTCCCCCTCCCCATACATCCAGTATACAATAGGAAGACTAGGATAGTAAAATCACAAGAGACACTCCCACTGAGAAAGGAGGTAATAACAGGCACTGGTCCTTAGGAAATATGAAATCCAAGCGTGCATGTCACCAAGTCCCCCTTCTCCAGAGGCAGGAAATGTGGTATCTCCCATTTCTACTGTTTTTCATGCTTTATGCCCTGTCCTGATCATCCTTCTCTGACCAGGTTCCAATTTGCCTATTTCCTTCATAAAAGGCTAGTGTCCAGGAGCGCCTGGGTGGCTCAGTTGGTTAAGCATCTGCCTTCAGCCCAGGTCATGATCTCCTGGGTCTTGGGATCCAGTCCCACATTGGACTCCCTGCGTAGCAGGGAGTTTACTTCTCTCTCTCTCTCTCTTTCTCCCTCTGCCCCTTCCCACTGCTTGTTCTCCCTCTCTCAGATAAATAAATAAAATCTTAAAAAAAAAAAAAGACAAAGACTCATGCCCGGGACTGGATGCAGCATTCCAGTGGTGTCCACGCAATAGAAGAGAGCAGGATCATCAGACGCCTTCATAATTCCAAATATCATACTTCCGTTGATCCCTTCTAACACACTTTTTAAAAAAATATTCTAACTAAAAGGCAGGGCTGAAGACAGAGCCCTGGAACAGTGAAAACACCCTACAAGTTGTCTTGGATCCTTTTAAATACTGTCATTGTGCCAAGCAGGGTTTTTGACTGCAAACCGGTCAATAACACCATAGCTCTGCCATGGCCACCACTGCCAGTGAATACTCACCACCACCACTTCAAGACTGTTCAAGCCGCTGCTTCTGTCACTATGAATACTTTCCACACTACCCTTGCTTCTTAGCATCCTCCCCTAAATTTCAAAGTCCTTGGTGAGAGTGGCTGGGCCCAATTCACACACTTGAGTCCTAGCTGCTAGTAAGTGAAAAGGAGAATCTTCTTTCTACTTCCATGGTGAGGGCCAGCACACTATAGCCCTCCAATATTATATTATTTTCAGAAAATTATTCTGGAATAAGGGATTGCATGTTGAGTGGACAAATATGATGACAAAGGTCCACTCCAGTCGTTTGGCAGGTTACTTTTCCTCTTAATTATACTACCATCCAACCCATTTCTCCCATTTTATCCACAAGAATATCATGGCAGAGATTGTTAAAGGCCTTGCTGAAGACCCAGTTTGCCAACAGACAGACTATCAAGTACATCTCTGTGATCTGTCAGTTCAGGGACCTGCCATAAAAGGAAATTTGATTGCCCTGGCCCTGACTTATTCTGAGAAATCTATACTTCCTTTATATCTTTAAAAATCTATTCTTGGTGTTAGAATATAACTCTCTATGGTTGGAAAAAGCCCAGAGGTACATTCTATAAAATAACTGGTCTGTAATCTTCAGTATGTCAAGGTCACTGAAGACTAGAAAAGATTTTATTGCTGCTCCCAAGTGAAAGAGAGTAAAAAGGTATTATGACTATATGCAACAGGTGACTCTTTTGTTTTAAAGGACAGGATTGAGATAAGTGGCAAACTTAATTGGGATTTGAGGACCAGATGGAAGGTAAGGTATAACATCAATGACTTGATTTTTACTGTTGTATTATAGTTACTTAGGCAAATGTCCCTATTGGTAGGACATACATAGTAAAGTGTTTGGGAGTGGTGGAACATCATACTGGCAAGTTACTTTAAAATGGTTTTGGGAAAAAAATTGGTCTGTGTACTGTGCCTGTAAATTTTCTATACATTTTTTATTGTTTCAAAATTTTAAAAATCAATAAAATTAAAAATGAACAAATAGAAAAATATCTATTCTTGAGTAAAAGTGTAGTTTGCAGAATCAACTTTTTCTCTTTGTAATGGACTGGTGTTAATTTTCTCCACTCTTAATTCATTTGTCCTTGTGGTAAGAGGCGGTCCACTCTTCCACTGTGTGGTTAGGATAGGCCAAGCTCAAAACTCAGATATCATATAATTACTTGGGATAGTGCTCCTCAGTGGACTTATATTTGGCCAATCAGAACACTGTTTCCCTCTAGCCACAGTGATTGGTTCAGGGATTGACACATGGTCCAAGGAGGCCAAGGAGCAAAGATCCCATCTTCTCTCAGGAATTCTGATTGAGAAATATTGAGAAATAATGAGAAAAAGTCTCCTCCTTTCCTCTGGGGTGGCCATCCTGGAGTTGCCAAAGGTATTATATTAGTTTTCTAGGACTCTGTAACAAATTGCCAAATGCCTGGTGGCTGAAAACAACAGAACTTTATTCTCTCATAGTTCTGAAAGCTAGAAATCCCAAAATCAAGAGAGCAGCAGAGCCCGGCTCCTTCTGAAAGCTCTAAGAAGGAAACTTTCCTTGCTTCCTCTTGCTCCTGGTGGCTCCCAGCAACTCAGCATTCGTTGGTTTTTAGCTGCATCACTCCCGTCCTACCTTTATCTTCACATGGCCTTCTCTGTGTGTATGTTGCTCTTCTGTCACTGTGCCCTCTCCTCTTCTTGCTGGGACACCAATCACTGGAAATAGGCCCTACTCTAATCCAGTACAACTTCATCTTGACTTAACCAGTTACATCTGCAAAGACCCTATTTCCAAACAAGATCTATTCTGAGGTTGCGGGTAAATGTGAATTTGGGGGATACACTATTTAACCCCCTACAGCTATCATGTGGAAAGAGCCTTCCTGAAAGTTAAGCCAACACAGAGGCAGGGTTGTGTGCCCTAGTATGGCCATATTTGATTGCCCCTGGACTGATGAATTACATGAATTGGTAAATTTCCCTTCTTTTCCTCAAGTCAGCTTAAAGTGACAGAAAGAAACTGACTACCACCCCGACTTTTACAAAATTAGAAAATCATTTGCACATGACCAACGTTCCAAATTTCTTCCTATTGCACACATTCTCCAAAAGTCTCTGACAAGGGATTGTGCAATCCCACTTGGAAGTGGAATGGATTTACTTCATTTGGCCAGAAAACAAATTTATTTTGAGCAGCTAGATGATTTCTTTCAATGTATTCCACCATTATTCCTTTCTTTTCATTTTTATTATGGAAAATTTCAAAAGTAGGAAAAATACACAAAAGTAGGAAGAATAGTGTAATGAACCTCAATGTTTCCATCACCCTGTGTTTGCTTCATCTATACCTTCAACTTCCCTCCACCTCCTGTAGGATTATTTCAAAGCAAAATTCAGATACCATATAATTAATTTGTCCTCTTCAACCACTATTCTCTCATTACCTCTTCTCTCACAATCTCATTCTCTCATTCCCTCATTACTGCATTTGAGGGCTTTTACCCCTTGTAAAACAAAGCAAGGCACTTTGAACATGGAAAGTGTATACTGGACGTCTGCTGAATGGAGACCCTACCATGAGAATTTCTAGTCTGTTAGAAGAGATAAGACAAGAAACCCCTCCAGTGCTTACCAGACTTTAATGAAAATCACCTGGGGAGATGTTAAAATGCAGAAGTTACTCAAATATGTGGGAGGGGGTGGGGGATTCTGCAGTTCTAATAAGAACTGCAAAGCTGTTGGTCTGTCAGGTCTCACTTTGAGCAGCCAGATCCTAAACCATAAAGCAGAAGAGAAAAAGACAGGGTGCTGTATAAGGTAGAGATGATGGGTCACCAGGCTTAAGAACTGGATTTTGAATAGTTTACCACAGTTACCCAGATTAATTTTTACAATATTCTAGTGTGAAAATAACACTGAACCCAGCATTGAGGGACCCACAAAAGAAATTTCATAAATTCAGGGAGGGGAAGGCACAGTTACCTGTCAGTACCAGGAAATCTATATGATAGAGAATGAAAGTGTGTAGCCAGTTCCTGGTGACTCTTTTTCCAAAAACCTTCACCCTCCTGGGACTGGCCCTCCATATCCATTTTTGTACTGCTTGAACCCCCCTACCAGCCACAGCTGATTGGACCAAAGGTGAGCATCTGACCTAAGCTGGGCCAATCAGAGGGTCTCTCCTGAGATTTTGGTTTTGAGATTCAGAATGGTCAGTCAGACCCTAGGTATGGCTGGAATTAAAATTATTTCAGTATTCCACCTTCTGCCAATACATAAAAAGCACAGAAAACTGGTTAAAAGAAACAGACCTCAAAGAGTACCTAGAAATGAAGAGAGCACTACCTGCATTCCTTCAGCTTCTTGCCCCAGTCTCCTTATTTTGAAATCCTCTAGGTGTTGCATTAGTGAGTGTCAGTTCTTTGCAACCAAAGGGACTGACATACTTGCTCACATAACAAGTGGGGACAAAGCCAGAGAGGGAGAAGGGTAAGAGCTGCTAAGCGTAGGAATGCAGGTCGGTGTGGATTTACCAGACAGGTGGGTAGATGAGAGGTCATCCCTTGCAGGAATGAAGTCTCAAGAACCAGAAACTTCCTGCAGGCAGTGGGCTGAGCCCCCTGCCTCTGGCTTCCTTTGAGACCACCAGGTTCATTCTGCCTGCCTGGCTGCCACTTCTCACCTAAGAATTCATCTCAGCCTTCCTGATTGTGTCAGGACTGGCCACACCAGAAAGCACCTTATTTCCACTAATCTCTGAGGGCTGTGGTGTCCCTACTGTAGAGCCCCCTGATGGTATAGTCAGTTCCTCCCAAGTGTCTGGGAAGAGCTGCTGGTAGCTGGTTGTTATTCTGCCCATCTTCCTCATCAGCATGCTACTCTGAATCTCTAGCTTGGGAGGTATGAGAAGGAGTTTAGCTCACAGGTATGTCCTGACGTCTGTAGCAATGATTCAAGCCCAGCCCTTTTGTTACAGGTAGGTTGGTAAACTTACTTCTGTTTGCCCAGGACTATCCCACATCACAGGACCCAGTTCTGGAAAAACTAGGATGGTTAGTCATCCTAATTTTTTTTTTTTAAAGATTTTATTTATTTATTTGACAGAGAGAGATCACAAGTAGGCAGAGGCAGGCAGAGAGAGAGAGAGAGAGAGGGAAGCAGGCTCCCTGCTGAGCAGAGAGCCCGATGCGGGACTCGATCCCAGGAACCTGAGATCATGACCTGAGCCGAAGGCAGAGGCTTAACCCACTGAGCCACCCAGGCGCCCTAGTCATCCTAATTTTAAAGCCCTCAGGTCCTTAATGGAAACCGGCTCTAACATTGTGCCTTGAAAGCATCATCCCAGGTCTGGTAACTCCAGACCTCCAAACCCCACCATCCTGAGGATTCCCACACAACTGGAGTTTCTGAACTGCTTTCTGAAACCACTGCATCTCTACTTATACCTGTAGACCATATGGCACAGATTCTGAAGCCTCCCATTCACTAATTGGGTGACTGTAGGGAAGTTATCTAAACTCTCAGTGCCTCACTTGTAAGTAGCACCGATAATACTAGTCCTACTTCATCGTGTTATTATGAGAAAAGTGAGAATAGTGCCTGACTGTATCAAAGTTGACAATTTTTATCATGCCCTTAGCCTGATCTAGTCATTGTCTCCTCCCACTAAGGAGACCCTCAGCCCTGGGCACTCTTTCTAGTCTCAGTGGCATTTCCCAGACCCAGACATAGGGCAGCGGGGGACCCAGGCTGTCTACTGAGGCTTCACCTGGTCCTCCTCTCCCTGGGCTTCTGATGTTGGTCCTCAGAGCAGGGTCTAGTTTCTCTCATTTCTGGGCACAGTTCCTTAAGGGGAATGCTCCTGGGGGCCCCTTAGAAGGATCGAGCAGAAAGGGACCAGGAAATGACTTCAGTGGTTTGGCTGGCCCTCTGGTGCTGACAGAGGATCCCCGTGCCTCTAGTCCCCTGCCACTGTGGTCAGCTTAGTCCCTCAACCTGCTTTCTCAGCAGCCATGCTCTCACACCTGTCAGAAATGAGAGATTTCAGGCCAGGAGGGACATCTGAGAACTCTGCACACAACTACAGAATGCCTTGAGGACATTCTGTATGTACATGTTGGGGGAAGTACAGGAAGTCCCTGTAGGCAGCTATCCCACATGACTATTGGCAATTGGAGGTAAGGTCTTTCTGCCCACAAAGGCACCTGACCCATGTTGATTTCTTCCCTCTGTTCACCACGGGAAGTGTAAGCACCAACGCAGGCTTTGGATGTCACGATGAAAGCAAATCCCAAAGCCCTGGTGCTGGGTTTCAGGTCCTCTAAGGAGAAAACCCCAGGGGTGCATGGAGGTCTCACCACCTCCCCTTGGGCCAGCCACACCAGGCCAGCTCTCAAAGGCCTCTTTTGACTGTCCTTTCTCTCATCTTTCCCCACTGTGATAAATGTCCTGGGATTAGCCCTTCTGTGTTTATTGGATGAGCAATTTGTGTCTGTTTGAAAAGCTACGTCTGAATAATGTTTGGCACGAGCTAAAGAAATGTGAGCCTCTGCATTCCCCTCCAGCCAGCTCTCTGGAGCCAGCCTGTCTCCTGCCAACAGGGTTAGACAGCTCTGCAGCTGGGTTTGCAGCCTAAACATGTTTGTAGGTGGAGAGAGGGGGAGTTGGTAGGAGGGGGAGGGAGGTGCCTGTGGTGGGACCAGAAACCCAGGGGGATGGAAGAGCAGAGCAGCTTTAGCAAATCTGTCAATTGTTGTAATAATTTGGGGACATCATAGATGCCCACAGTAGTCACCCAGGCCTGAGGACTGGAAAACTAGGGGCCCCTGTGCCACTCAGGAGCCTGGGTGATTGTTGGGCCCAGAGTCCCAGATGTGAACTACAGCAAAAGATACTCAAGGGAATTCAGTGGGTAGCATGAGGATCCCAGATCTAGATGGGTAATTAGTGCTGTGCTCTTGAGGTTTGTGTGGGGTGAGGCCAGTTAGGGGGTATTAGGATATCCTGAGGCTGTTTAAATATTTCCTGATTCCATCCATTTGGGTCCTGGAACAGGAGAAGAAGCTTGCAGCATTCAGGCAACACAGTTATAAGGTGCTGAGAAGTGTAGACAAAGCAGGAATTTGGTGGGTATGGGTGGGTGTGTCAACAACCTCCACCCCACCCCACATTCCTCCAGCAGCCTTCTACTGTTCTTCTTCAGCATTCTCCTGATCTTCTCTTACAGTGCACATCACTGCTCTCTTGTACCCAGTGACTCAGCTCTCAGTCTTTCTCCACCTCCACCTCACTCTCCCTAAGTCAGTGATCGGACTGAAGGCATGACATCATCCATGTGTCCCTAACAATGCGCACAGAACTGGTCACCAAGGAGGCATCAAAAATGGTTCATTGAGTCTTGATTTTGGCTCAGGTTATGATCTCTTGAGTTGCAAGATCAGACCCCATGTCAGGCTCCACACTGGGCATGGTGTTTGCTTAAGATTCTCTCTCTCTCCCTCAGCCCCTCCCCCTGCCTAAAAAGTGGTTTACTAAGTAAAGGAATGAAAGTGAGGCAGGGAGCTCAGACTTTAGTGGTCACAGACTCACAAGAAGAGAGCAAATAACAAGTCAGACAGGAGTAACAATATAGGAAATCGGTTCAGGAGTGAGAACATGGCCACAATAACGCTGTCCTCAGAATCTGCTCTGGGTCAAGGCTTCTAGATCAAGTCAGCTTATCAGGAAAGGCCGCTCGAGGCTCTTCTGTAATTGTCCACTCATCTTGGTGTTCCACATGATTTCATGCATTCAGTTAATGTGTTTTGAATCCCTACCTGTATCATCCTCTGTAGGATACTATCTGTCTCATCATATAGAAAACAAACAGGACAACAAAACAGGTGTACCATACAAGGTAGGAGCAATCTATATTCTCACAGAGGTATAGAGAGAAGGTTATAAATATTCAGGGGGGAAAAAAGAGATTACTTTTACTTGGAAGAGCAAGGAAATCTTTGTGGGGTTGAGGGAGATGCATTAGACCTGGACCTGGGATGAAGTCTGCAAATGCACCCCTAGTGTGCTCTTCATCCCCACCCTTCCCTGCTGTCCACACTCATTCAGTGTGGTGCCTATAGCAGATTTTGCTAACAGATTCTTTTACTCTTTCCCTAATCCCAGGTATATCCACAGACTCCTTCTTGACACAGCACATAGCCAGATGATCAGAGCAGGCCCATGAGAAAAGAAAGGCATTTGCTCATCACACCTGGGAGGGTGTATACAATTGAGACATGCAGGGCTCACCTATAGAAGGAACAGAGTGAGGAAAGGCACAGTGCTGGGGAGACACTGAATGTGTATGACGAAGGTGAGTGGACTGCTTAGGCTTGTGGGCAAGTCTTGTCGAAAAGGAGCAGTGGACAATGTAGCTGAGAAAGTAGGTTGAGGAATATCTGGATGATGGATCTTGCCAGGCTAAGGAATGTGGGTTTCAGCTGCAGAAGGCAGAGGCAGAGGCTCGCACAACTGAGCTATGTTCAGAAAGACAGTCTGGAAGCAGTGGACAGGCTGGACTGGGATGGGGAAAAGCTGGAGGCGGATAGACCAGCCAGACGACTGTCCCAGGCAACCAGTAATGGAGCCTCCTTTGGGCTCTTGCTGCACTTGGCGAAAGCATCTGTTTAACACTCACCCTACTGTCTCTCTCAGAGCTATCTTTTGACAGCCTGTTAGCCCTAAAAGCTGCAGGATCCTTGACATCAGGAACTGTTTGCTGCCTGTCTGGGGCCCCAGGCCTGACATGGTTCTTGGCAGGTGCTCATTATATATTTGTGAATTACTCAGTAGGGCAGTAGAAAAGGACAAGGGGTGTATAGAAAAGGGCACACATTTCCGCAATCACATCCTGTTTAGCAAGAACAGTTCCTTAGGCCTGGACATTGGTACAGCTGTCTTCTGACGTGTGTGGAGAAATAGAAGCATGTGCAGGCAGCACAGGCAAGGAAGGAATCACAGCTGACTCCAAGCCATATGTGTGTGTGTGTGTGTGTGTGTGTGTGTGTGTGTGTGTGTGTCTTAGGCTTGCAAGAGCTCTTAGCTTTTTAGAGAGGTGGACAGACAAATGGGAGACCTCACAATCTGTACTGTCCTAATATGCCTTAGGAAGTGTATTAAACCCTTTTTTGGTGGCAAATGGCAGAAGTTCAATGCAGGCAAGCCTAGGGGGAGTAGGAAACATATAAGGTTCATTTGGGGACCACCAGAATGAAGGATTCCTCAACCCCAGGCTCTTTCCATCTCTAATGTCTCCTTCTCTCCACAAGTCTGTCAGCCTCATTCTCGAAACCTGGCTTCCCCCACAGGCTGGAAACATGGCTGCTGGGAGCCTGGGTTTCCCATCTGAGAGTTCCCCAACCTGAGAATTGCTAAAAGCTTCCTTTCTCGTGCCCCAATTTCAGAGATCCCAGAAAAGGACGGATTGGCTTGTGTCAGGACCCTGGTCTACGACCTAATGCAGCAGCAAAGGAAGCAGGGTCATCTAAAAAGGAAAGAGGTTCATCTAAAACCTCATAGTTGAAGTGAAAAAGGAGTATATCACAGAGGTGGAGCTAGTAATAGTAATAATCCTGTGGTGCCTGGCTGGCTCAGTTGGTGGAATGTGTGGCTCTTAATATCAGGGTTGTGAGTTTGAGCCCCACTTTGATTATAGAGATTACTTTAAAAAAAAAAAAAACAAAACCTGTCTGAGTGTGCACAAGTCAACTCGTCTACACAACAACCCCAGTAGGTATCACTGTTGTAGTCATTATCACCCTTGAGAATTATTACCTCAGGGAAAAAAGGCACAGAGAGGGTAAGTAACTGTCATAGATCACACAGCTAGTAAACAGAGATGGAGCTGGGATTTAAATCCATTTAATCTAGCTCCAGACCCTATAACTTCCTATTTTGTTATGTTGCCTATTCACTACAGAAGGAAAGAAAGCAAGGTGTTGGGCTGTGAGGAAGGAACCTTGACAATTTCTCCTGGGAAAATTCAAGGCCCAAGCTGAGGAGCCTGTGAGAAATGATTGGTCCAATGTCATGGGAATCTAGAATAAAAAACACCACCACCCATCTTAATCTCACTGGAGATATCTGAAAAGGACTGTTTCATTTTGACCTTTTTTTTTTTTAAGATTTTATTATTTTTCAGTAATCTCTACACCCACTGTGGGACTTGAACGCACAACCCTGAGATCAAGAGCCACCCATTCCACCAACTGAGCCAGCCAGGCACCCCTCATTTTGACTTCTTTTTTCTTTCATCTTTATTTACTTAAGGTAGAATTAGATAGAGCCAAGAAAAGCAAATGTGAGAACAATGAGGTCCCATTTTCACCTATTAAAAATTTAAGCAGCGGTAAATAGCCATGCTGGCAATGGTGGGGAGATGGCTTGCTTCTAAATGACTGGTGACAGGATAAAGTGGTCCAGCCAGTAAAAAAAGCAGTTTATTCAGCCATGGGGGTCAAGAGCTAAAGAAGCTTTCTTTAACTTTGACCTGCTAACCTCAGTCTTCAGAAACAGCTCATGGAGTCACAAAATAAAACCCACCTAGTGCTGCGTGCAAGAGATGCATCTAAAATAATGTTCCTCGGAAATACTGAAAGTAAAAGAGTAGGAAAAAAATAGAAAACAAGAACAAATGCCATACATGCAAATACAAGCAACAAGAAAACAAAGGTTTTGCTATTAATATTAGGCATGGTTGAATTCACAGAAAATCAGAAAATAAGATACAGGAGAAAATATTATAATGATAAAGACAGACAGCAACAATGAAGATCTGTCATAAATAATAGAACATCAGAATTCATAAAACAAAAACAATAGGAAATACACAGAGAAATGGACATAAATATAGTAACAGAACATTTTAATTCACCTCTCTTAGCACATGACTGATCAATAAATAAACCATACAAAAAGTGAAGCTATAGAGGACTTGATTTGTTAAATTAGCAAGGTAGATTGAATTAAAGCTGTCAAACTCCGTATCTTGAAAACCTAGAATGTGTACTTTGTTAGGCGTGGGTGGATCATTACCAAATGACTACGCGTAAGGCCATAAAAAAAAAAATGAACTAAAAACCCCTCAATACATTCCAAAAAGTAGAGTGAATACAGATAACAGTTTCTTACCACAATGCACTAAAACTAGGAAGTAATAGCAAAGACAGAAACTGTAAACAATAGAAAAGCTAAAAATTAAACAAAAAACCGGTATCTGGATGGACTATTATTCCATGTTTTTTAAAAAAGGAAATTCTGACACATGCCACAAAGGACATTACACTAAGTGAAATAAGCCAATCACAGAAAGACTAATACTGTAGGATTCGCTTATATGAGGTGTCTAGAGTAGTCAAATTAATAGAAGATAGAAGTGGAATCATCATTTCCAGGGGAAGCGGGAAGAGTGAGGAATGGGGAGTTGTTTAATGGGCATACAGTCTCAGTTTTTGCAAGAAGAGAAAGTTTATTTTGTATATTGCACAACGATGTGGATATAAGAAACATTACTGAACTAAATGCTTGAAAATGGTTGAGATGATAAATTTTGTGTTATATGTAATTTAAGAGATTATCTTAAGTAATGCTCAGAGTGTAAACTATCTTTTGGAAAAAAGTGATCATTCCCAAGGAAACAGTGCGAAAGACAGGTCCAAGGAATGGGCATTTTCATGGTTCCTGGCTACATCTCACATAATCTTCAGGTGAGAATTCGGAGGGATAAATTATCAGAGATCTCTTCCTTTTTTGTTTTTAAGATTTTATTTTTATTTATTCGACAGACAGAGATCACAAGTAGGCAGAGAGGCAGGCAGAGAGAGTGGGGAGCGGGGTGGGGTGGGGGTGGATGGGGTGGGGAAGCAGGCTCCGTGCTGAGCAGGGAGCCCAATGCAGGGCTCCATCCCAGTATCCTGAGACCATGAGCCGAAAGCAAAGGCTTAACCCACTGAGCTACCCAGGCACCCCACATATCCAGTTCTTAAAAGAGCAACCAAAAAGGAAGAAATCTAGGGGTGCCTGAGTGGCTCAGTGGGTTAAAGCCTCTGCCTTCGGCTCAGGTCATGGTCCCAGGCTCCTGGGATCGAGCCCCACATCGGGCTCGATGGCAGGGTGCCTGCTTCCTCCTCTCTCTCTACCTGCCTCTCTGCCTACTTGTGATCTCTCTCTCTCACTGTCACATAAATAAATAAAATCTTAAAAAAAAAAAAAGAACTAGATACGTGTTTCGGATCTTCTTCCTGGAAAAATGCACTCACAAATGTAACAGAATGGAACAGAATTGCTTGGCATTTCCTTTATACCTGGTGTTCTGATATTTCATCATAATTCATCTAGGCATACGTCTTTTGAGGGGAGGGGAAGAGTTATTTTTCTTGGTACTCAGTGGGCCATTTCGATGTGAAAGCTTATGACTTTCTTCACCCCTAGGAAATAGGCCATGACTTATTTAGTTTTTCCCCTCCATTCCCTCTGCTCTTTTATTCTGGAATGCCTGTTAAATAGGATGACAGAACTTCTGGATTCACTTTCTGTGCTTCCTAACTTCTTTTTTCCCTATGCCAGTATGAGGTGTTTTTTTTTTAAGCTGGATTTTTAAAATTAACATATAATGTATTATTTGCCCCAGGGGTACAGGTCTGTGAATCATCAGGCTTACACATTTCACACCAGTCACCATAGTACAGATCCTCCCAATGTCCATAGCCCAGCCACCCTATCCTTATGCCCCATCCCCCAGCAACCCTCTGTTTGTTTCATGAGATTAAGAATCTCTTATCGTTTGTCTCCCTCCTGATCCCATCTTGTTTCATTTTTTCCTTCCCTACCCCCATGACCCCCCACCCTGCCTCTCAAATTCCTCATATCAGAGAAATCACATGGTAACTATCTTTCTCTGATTGACATATTTTGCTTAGCATAATACCCTCTAGTTCCATCCACGTCATTGCAAAAGATTTCGGGGTTTTTTTGATGGCTGCGTAATATTCCTGTGTGTGTGTGTGTGTGTGTGTGTGTGCGCGCGCGTGTGCGTATGTGTACCACATCTTCTTTATCCATTCATCTGTTAATGGACATCTAGGTTATTTCCATAGTTTGGCTATTGTGGATATTGCTGCTATGGACATTCAGGTGCACGTACCCCTTTGCATCACCACATTTGTATATTTAGGGTAAATACCCAGTAGTGTAATTGCTGAGTCGTAGGGTAGCTCTATTTTCAACTTTTTAAGGAACCTTCATACTCTTTTCCAGAGTGGCTGCACCAGCTTGCATTCCCACCAACAGTGTAGGAAGGTTTCCCTTTCTACATGA